CCAACCTCCTAGCAAGGGCTCGGAGGAGGGAGAATACAAGAAAAACCTGTCTGGCTCCAGCCCCCACTTCACTCTTTCAGAAACCGGAGCAGCATATGGGAGTATTTGCCCCTTTCCCTAGAGATGGAGATGAGCAGATGACAGGCTGCGAGCATGTGTTAGTCCCACCAACGCACGCTCCAGCCAGCTTCCCATTAAGGGCGGCAGTTGCTCCCGACCCAAATGTTAGCAGTTTTCAATTAGCAAATGGCAGAGGAGAGGGATTCCTGGGGGACACGCTAAGCAAGTCAAGCTCTATCGCTTGTCACTCAAGGAGCTCACGTTACCCTTCTCCCAGAGAGGCTCTGCTTAAAATAAAATCCTCCAGCAGCCCAAGGCGGGGAAGGCAGGCAGCCTGCCTGCTCTCGCTGCCGGAGCTGCCGAGAGGGGGAACGGGTGGCTGATTTTTGGGGTTACCTTGAAGGATAATGGTTGGATTGGATGATCTTAAAGGTCTTTTCCAACCTAAATGATTCTATGATAACAGGTTACCCTGCCGCAGCCTGAGCTGCAACAAGGCTTTAGCTGCTGACACCCAAATAGCAGCTTGTACCAGTGTACGTCGAGCATGAACGGCCACCATGGGGTCTTTTCCAAGGGGCGTGAGTAGCTGGCAGCCCGCTCAGATGGCGGAGGGCAGCGAGCTAAACTTTAACCAGATCCCAGAGAGCCTGGAAACCCAATGCGTAAATGACAGGCGGCAACCGTACAGAGAGCAGAGGGGTGCACGGGGCAGCTCCGAGCTGTCGGGGGTGGCAACCTGGGGTTGAGGTGTTCCCATCCTGGTGTGCTCAGGGCTGTGGACCCCCCAGGGCAGGATCTACAAGCAGCCAGTCTGTCCGTCTGTCCGTCTGGTTCTGCTACTAAGTCACAGCAAGCCCTGGAGCCAGGCTCTCCTCCCAACAAGAGAAAGGCACTACCCCAGACACCTGCCCCAACATGCCACGACCTGGCCCTGTCTGAAAACCGTCCCTGGACACTGCTACCGGACTGGGCCCGAGCCAAAAGGACGGGCCCTCGGCCCCGTGTGTCAGCACCCGCGGGGCGAGGGGACTCCCCGGGCCTCCCCCGCGGAAGGCACAGGACACACCATCCTGCAAGCTTAGAAAGCCTGTGTCTCCGATGACAGGCATGAAACAGAGCTGAGTTTTATCGCTATTTACCGCCTCTCTTTGATGTTTTAAAAATTTTTCTTTCCTAACCTCCCTAAAGAGCATCTCCGCTAATTAGCCAGGAGCTGACAAAGCCATCAGAAGGCGCTGGCTGTGCCGGCAGGACGGCTGGGAGGTGTCAGACCCTGCAAACAAAGATCCCCTCCTTTTCCCTTCTCCCTAACGAACGCCCTCCCCGCACTCCAGATCACAGCCGGGCGTTTGGTCGCACAAAGGCGACGCTCGACCTCCGGGCAGTGCAATTCCCTTTGTGCAGGCGATACGTTCTCCGTTCCCCCATGACAGGTCAGCCCTTGAACCCATCTGGGCTCGGGGAGGCCTCCTGCCACCTTCCCCTGGCCTCTCCCTGCCCTGCACCCCTGCTCTGTCCCTCTGCCTCGTATTTAACTTAAACTGGAGGGACGGAAAACTGACGCTCCAGCTTCTAAAGAAGTTAAGGTGGAGTGTTTCGCCCCAGGGAAAGGAGCGGGGAGAGTCCTCTCCCTGCTTCTGGGGACTCGTGCCCAAGGAAGGTGGGGGGGTAAGGGCAGCGAGGCGGCTGGACAGACGGAATTCTGCCAAGCCTCGTGGGAACGGGGATATGACCACTACAGAGGTGCCAGAATCAAATCAAATCAGCTGCGGGATCAGTTTGTGGTTTGGGCTGTTCCCTGCAGACAGCGATGGCCCCAGATCAGCAGGATTCTATCGAGCACAGGAACGGGGACGGGCTTTCCCTGGGTGACAGTGACCGGGGGGACCCGTACCGGCCGGGATGCACGAGACGGGAGCAGGCAGCCTCATCCCCGCATCACCTCCCCTGCCCACTCCCTCTTGGCCCTGCCTTCCATAGCAAGAAGAGCCACGGGGACGCAGCTGATCCACCACCAGCTCTGCAGGATGCGGAAACAAAACAAGGATAAAGGGAGAAGCCCCGAGACCTGCAGTTTTCACTGGGAGCTTCTGCAGGGAAACAAAGCAGCAGACGTGAGGAATGCAACTGGCCTATTTGCCCGGGCTGCTCTCTGCCTCCGGCAGCGCGGACATGCCTCGGCTTGTCGTTTCAAGAGCTATTGTTGCTCGGGGCTGGGGGCCTCTTTGTTTCCTTTACCCTTTCGCCAGGCTTGGTCACAGCCCGGTATTAAATTATTCAAATTGTCTCACTGGGCTCTGCGGCTGAACTCGAGCGCACAGGCTGCAACATCCCGAGGGCTCCAGCCCTCGCCGCGAGCCCCCGGCCCAGCACAAAGTGCGCTGGTTCACACTGGTTCCTCCTGCCCCGAGCAAAGGGTCCCGATATTCGTGCCAGCAACACCTCCAGCCCCGACACTGCTGTGCAAAGGCATCGTTAAGCCGTAAAACAACCCACCTAGCGCCAGCACGTCAGCGGGAACAGGGGGGCTGTCAAGGGGCTCACCCCTGGATTCGGCAGCGCAGCTGGAGCAGGGAGAGCCTGGTTCTCCGGGCTGCACGTCCCCTGGAGCGGTGGCATTTTGGTGCCACCATTGACAAGGCAAAGGGTGGCAGAGACCTCTGTCCTGCCGGCCTGCTATCCCAGCCAGCCCTCAGCCCTGGCGAGGCTGTAGCAGGAACGCCAGTCCCTTCTTACGGGACGTGTCTGCATGTGGCGTGGGGCAAGGGGAGCCCTGAGAGCTGAGCGCAACACAGCCAAGTGAAATCTGTTGCTGCAGGAGCTGCCGACAGCTCAGTGCAGGGAGGACAGCCGCCCAAAGGGGCTTTGAGTCAATTTAACCCAGCCCTGCAATTACCCTGGTGCCCAGGTCTGGGAGTGGAGCACGCCTTCCCCTCCGCTGACACCGGGCTGCTGGAGCCGTCCCTGTAACCTGCAGCACAAGGCGAGTGCCAAGGGACTGGCAGAGCCTTTGAACGCAAGTCAGCTTCCTGGGATAGCAGGGTGTAGCTGCCTGAAAAGGCAGCTCCACAAGAAACAAAAACGGCAGGGGAAAAACCCGGGAACCCACCC